CGAGGCAGGCAGCAGCGTCACGAGACTCCCACACGTCACGAGCGAGGAACCGGCGCTGGTACTCAGCCTCCTGCTCGGAAGTAGGCGGTGGGGTAGTGGGCAGCGGTGAAGGCTGCGGCGGGGCGGGCAGAGCACCGGACGCATGCGCAAACAGGTGCACGCCATCCTGGCGCTGGCTCCTAAGGTGGCGCTGGGCCTGCGTCAGCCAGGTACTAAAGTCGATCGCACGCCCCTCAGGGTCGAAACGAAGCACGCGAGACGTCGCCATGAGGGGCGAGGACAAGTGATAGCGGCCGCCAGCCGCGAGAGGAGGAGGAGAGGGAGGTGAGTGCGAGGCGGGTGCGTGCAGGCGGGGCGCGCACTCGCTGGGCGCGGGGCGGCGGGGCGCGCTCCGGCGCGGCGCGCTGGCTAGCGTGGCGCGCGGGCGCGGCGCGCTGGCGGGCGGCTAAGCAGGGCGCGCGCTGGCGGGCGCGGCGCGCTGGCGTGCGCGCTGGCGGGGCCCGCTGGCGGGGCGCGCTGGCGGGCGCGCTAGCGGGCGCGCTGGCGTGCGTGCTGGCGGGCGCGCTGGCGAGCTCGCTGGCGGGCGCGTTGGCAGGCGAGCCGGCGGGCTCGCTGGTGCGCCCGCTGGCGGGCGCGCTGGCGGGCTGGCGTGCGAGCGGGCTGGCGCGCAGGCTGGCTGGCGCGCTGGCGGGCTGGCGCTCTGGCTGGCTGGCGCGCTGGCGGGCTGGCGCGTTGGCTGGCTGGCGCGCAGGCTGCTGGCGCGCTGGCTGGCTGGCGCGCTGGCTGGCTGGCTGGCGCGCAGGCTGCTGGCGCGCTGGCTGGCTGGCGCGCTGGCTGGCTGGAGGGCGCGCTGGCTAAGGGCGGGGAGGGGAGGGGCGCGCCAGCTGGGGCGTGGGGTAGGGCGCTGGCGGGCTGGCAGGGTGCAGTGGTAACCCTAGTGGTAGGGAAGGGCGGGCCTAGGACTAGGAGCGCTAACCTACTGCTGATACCATGTCAGAATGAGAACTACAGCGGAATGCGTTGTATTGACAGAATTGGGGTACATCACCTAACCCTAACTAGTTGTACCCCATATAGCCCAACCCACTACAGGCTATAATATTTGACAAAACCATACCAGGTAGTATCTCGTCGGCTTCATCTGCGCGAAACAACGTGACAAGCGACATCAGCCACTCCAGGCACTGTGCATGCCGTGCGTCCCGGTCCCAGTGAGGTTGCCACATCTCTGGAATAAACAGCCGCACTCCGGAAAGTGAGTCAAGGTCGCCAAGCTTGGACTGGAGCTGCTCGACAACGAGCTCGGCCATGTCGGTGCAGAGCGCAACGCAGGCGTGGTGATGACCAGGCCCACGATAGCTTGGGTGTGTGCGTTCGTGAAGCTTCACCTTGAAGCGGTTCATACTGCCGTCGGACAATGCTCCTTCCACCACCATTTCTGGTGTCCCTCCCGGACCGTGCTTCTCAATGAAGCGGTAGAGCCTCTCGGTCGCCCCCCCCCCCGAAGTCGTCTCCAAAGTCGACGTACCGAGCCTCCAGGATCGATGTGGTGCGCACAATCTGCGTGTGCACCAGCGCGTAGTCGAGCTGCATCACAAACATACAAAGAGAATTAGTACAATGGGTCTCGGACTTAAACCAATACAATCTACACCCTCAAATTCACTTACTTCTCGCTTCTGAAAAACTGAGGAGAGGACGTTGAGCTGCTCCAGCATGTCCGCGAGGAACCTGATGAGGAACTGGAACCTGTACGACGTGACGAGTTCGTACATGGTCTGGTCCTTCCACTCCGACAACATGACCATGATGGCAGGTAGGACTTGGACGAAGCGGGCAACTGCAGCTCCTCTGGACAGCCACCGCACGTCGTGTATGCCTTGGACCTCGAGGATGGTGGACGTGAACACCTCCTGGAGCTCCATGAAGCGCTGATGCCACGGCCCCGATCGCCCGAGGTACTCTGCAACCGCGCGGATCACGTCGTCGACCATGTTGAAGGTGGGTATCTTCTCCGCTGCGGCCTTGGCAGCCAAGGCCTCCCTGCCAGACAAAACCACACATGCACAGTTAGTTTTTCATAAACAAACAGATTTGCCGTTTACACATGGCGTTAAAACACAAACGCACCTGTGAGCGATGCAGTGAAACGAGACCAGGTTGGGGATGAGCATTCGCAGACGAGCAACCACACCATTTTGACTCCCCACCATCACAGAGGCGCCATCCGTGCTCACTCCCGAGATACGCCGGAGGTCAACGCCGACTGCCCTGAGGTGGGAAAGCAACAAACTGCACAAAGATGCAGCGTCAGCCCTATCAACCGTTAAATGCGCGACGAACTCAGTGACAACTCGGCCTTCGCGGAGAAACCTGGCAAACACAATCATGTGCTTGCCGCGCCGACGGTCGGTGCTCTCATCGAGCGTTATCCCGATGAAAGGGCTCGAGAGGAGGTGCTCCAGTTGCGTTGTCTGAAGCCATGTCGCAATGGCTTGAGTGAGCTCTCCAAAGCCGTACCTACAGAAGGAAGACAAGGTCGTTAGTGACGGTCAGCAAGGATACAACGTTGTACACACGGGACACACATAAGAATTTACGTACGTGTTATAGTATGTGCCGTATCCCAGCTCAGGAAACCCGGGCACTTTCTTCTTCGCCAGGTAGCGCACGAGCCGGATCCACGAGTCCATGGGCTCGTTGCACTTCCCCATGAAGTACAGCGCGTCGACGAGCGACGACACCTGCAGCAGCTCCATGTCTTGCGCTTTCGGGTGCATGTCGATGCGCTGCTGCCCCCCGTACTTCTGCAGCAAATCCTCCTGGCGCTGCAGAGCAAATCGGTGCTTCACCGTCCCTTCGTGCTTCTTGAAGGACTGTGTCTGCACGTCTGTAGCTCCCTCGGTACGCCGCCCACACTTGCCTTTCAATCCCGCAAACTCCAGGCAAATATTGCACTTGAAAGAAGGGGCACCAGAAGAGGTCTTAGTTAGAACAAGCCAACTGTAATCGGTGGACCACTTCGATTTGAATCTCTCATGCGCTTCCTCGTATTTCAACTCAGGATTATCGGATTTGGGCTTTGAGCTGTCCTGCGTGGGCCTCGGGCTGCCCTGCGTGGGCATGGAGTTGTCCTGCATGGGAGAATCGTCGCCCGCAGGAGTCACAACGGTCGATGGAGGAGGCGGAGTGGCCCAACCAAGGGTGGACTGCCGGTACCGCAGCTTCGACGGTGGCGCGGGACGAGAAGGTGCACCAACAGACGCCTCATGGGGCACCGCCTGTTGCGCAGCGGTCGCTGGTTCAGTGACGGCCTCGTGCAGAGGTGTGGTGTCTCTGGGAATAGGTGGGCGGCTCGAGCTAGGTTGCGACGGTGGCGTTGGAGGTGGATTGTGCTTCGGTAGGACAGACCTAAGAAAATCTAGACCGGTGAGAGGGTCGGATACTGGGCCGGATACTGGGCGACCGACTGCATCATCCTCGTCGTCGGGCCCATCCGCGACAGCCTCTGTAACTGCCATTGAGCCTGCCGAGCAGAGGTGTAGCGAGCTAGGAGGTGGGAGCCTGAAACAAGGGCTCCTACACTAGTTTGAGTCCAGGCAAATGGAGCGGGCCATGAGAGAGACTGCAAGAACGGTGACCAAGAAGAAGATGAGAAACCCTCGTGTAATAGGACCTCCCATCTCCCAGAAGGTCATTGCATGCACTGCACCTGGGCGTGAATCCTTGGAAGGTGGGGTGATTGGGGTTGATGGATGGAGTCACGTGAGAGAAGCAACGCGGTGCGAGCCCTGCGTTGGCAACTGGGAAGGTGGGGTGGGGTGGATGGACGTGGTGTCGTGAGAGTGGCAGCGCGCTGCGAGCTATGCGCTGGCAACATTGAAGGCGGGGTGTGGTGGATGGTCGTGGTGTACAGCGAAGGTGCAGTGCGTGGCAAGCTATGTGTTGGCAAGGAATCTTGCCAACACTGCCTGCGGCGCAGCCGCGATTGGTCAGAATTGGGTGGGATTACAGCAACGCTGTACCAACGCAACTGTGCGTTGTCGCGCTGGCGAAATCGTGGGTTCCCGCCCGTGATTGACGGGGTTACTGCTCCACGCCGCCAGGCTGGACCCTGCCCCTGTATTATCGGATTCAGAATGCACCCCCGATACAAGTCTGAGGCACAGCCTACACTACTAAAAATAGTCTGAAATTACAGACAAGTATGTTAAAAAAACTCTGAAACATCAGACAAGGCCCCACCAAAAATTCTTAGAGTGCAGACTAGGTACCAAAAAAAGTCTGAACTGACTCTGATTCAGACTCTAAAGTCTGATATCTAGGGCCCTGGTAGAGAAGATAACGGTACCCTATGTGGTGGTTGTGTGCGCATCTTTGTGTATTTACGATAAAGATTAGCTGGCTGCTGTGTTGTGCGTAACTTGATGAATGTTGTTTACGGTGTCAGTGGTTTTGCTAGTTGAGCAACTAAGGTTGTGGCCAACAAATGTGGCTACAGCCACTATAAGTGATTACGCCTGCAACATACAATTGCAGCATTAGGCTAGCATGAACAATTATTTCCTCCCTATTTCCTTTGCATAACTAGGCTAGCTACCTAGCTATCGTAGCAGAACAGACCCACGAATCACATCGTCAGCACAGTCAGTGCCTGACCCCTACACTGTACCTACCGGTACCTACCTACCCAAGCCCCAGCTGACTTGCAATGCATTGCATTGTGGCTGGTTACTCACCTCCTGCTGAAAGATGGTATGCCACCTGAGATTGAGGTACGGTAGCATCATGGTCCAGTACCTGAAAGCTAGGCAGCCTGATGCTGCCACAGGAATCGAGCATGTGGCCTGGCCAGCAATACTGGAACTCCCTGTAGGTAGGACACTCGGCTATAGTAGCGAGGAGCGTGTTGAGATTATGCTACCATGGCGAGTAGGTTTCTCGTGGTGAAGGACGGCATTGGAGGAAGGGAGGAGCTGGCAGGTAGATACTGCAGCCGGTTACTGCATGCTCCAACCTTCACCTCCACCGTTACTAGTATCAGTAGCACCAGCACCAGCAGCACCACCAGCACCAGCAGCTGCCACAGGCAGCAACGGCGCTGCCGCCGCCGCTTGAGGCGGTGGGTAGAAGTAGCAGGCGCGCAGCAGGGGGTGGTGCAGTGGCACATAGCGCCACCACAGGTGCGCGTACTCTGGAAACGCCAGGTCCAGCCACGGCTTGGCGTGCCCGTTGTAGTGCAGCACCGCTGCCGACCGCACTCGACTCAGCGGAACCGTGCTGCGGCTGCCGAGGCTGGCTGCAAGGAGAGCGCGCGGGAGCGGGCGCGTGGCGTGGAGGAAGGTGAGCAGGCCTGCTGGGAGCGTCCCCAGCTGCCACAGCGTGCGATTCTCGTTCTGGCAAAAGGGGGAAGGTGGAGGGAAGGGGGAAGAAGGTGAAGTGTCGAAATAGGGGTGGTATGGGGATATTAAGGAAAGGGGGCGGGAGAAGGAGAAGGAGAGGGGGTGGGAGAGGGGGTGGGAGAGGGGGAGGGAGAGGAAATGAGTGGGATGAAGAGGAGGGAGGAGTTACCTGTGCGAGCCAGAAGTGGTACTTGTCGGTGTATCTGCCATCCCTCCACGCCTTGAGGTCAAACAGGTTGAACCCGAACGCCCACGCACACCCGTTCGGATCCACACCTGCACCCCACTGCTCCCCACCTCCGCTGCTGCTGCTGCCACGGCTGTTCCCATCAATCCTCCTCCTGCTGCTGCTGTTGCGTGGTTGCAGCAGCGGGTGTGAGAAGTTGAGGTAGGAGCTGAAGCGGTGGTACGTGCGGCCGACACATGTGGGCACCGCTAGGTTCACTGCCCCGCCACGCGGCACCTGAGGTGTTGTGGGGTAGTGGGGGGGGGAAGGGGGAGGGGGTGGGGTGGGGTGGAGTGGAGTGCATTGAGTTTGCAACGGCAAGGCCAGCAAGGGTGCTGAAGGGCAGAGTCAGTCACATGAAGGATAGAAAGAACCAATTGACGGGTCAAAAGTCATCTGAAGATTGACGGGTCAAAAGTCATCTGAAGATTGAAGGGTCAAAAGTCATCTGAAGATTGAAGGGTCAAAAGTCATCTGAAGATTGAAGGGTCAAAAGCCATCTGAAGCATGAAGGGTGACAGGTCACCAGAAGCGTACAAGTTCACCTGAAGGTCAAAAAATCACCTGAAGTGCAAAAAAATCACCTTAAGGGTAAAATTTAACCTGAAGGGAGAAAATTCACCTGAATGGGGGAGAAAATCAACTGCAGGGTAGTAAATCTCCTGAAGGGGGCGGAGAATTTCATACCTGCCAGAGGTGCGAGACGTCCTGGTGCTACACGAGCTTTAGTTTGAGGCACCTCATACCTGTTTTAAGCTTGCTTTCAAAAAGTCGTACCTGCCAGAGGTGCGAGACGTCCTGTTGCAGCACGACGTCGTCGTCTAGGAAGAGCAGCGTGTGCAGGCGCGGGAAGATGCGCGGCAGGTAGAAGCGCAGATGGTTGAACAGCGACACATACTTGGGGTTGCGGAACCGCAGCGTGCCATAGTCCTCCCTGCTGCCACCGCCGCCGCCGCTGCTGCTGCTGCTGCTGCTGCTGCTGCTGCTGCTGCTGCTGCTGCTGCTGCTGCTGCTGCTGCTGCTGCTGCTGCTGCTGCTGCTGCTGCTGCTGCTGCTGCTGCTGCTGCTGCTGCTGCTATTACTATCACTGACATTGCCAGTGGCAGCGGCACTTGCAGCGGCACTGGCAGCTGCACCGGAAGGCTTACGATCAGCAACACCAGCAGCAGTGGTGGCAGAAGCAGCAGCAGGAGGCGCAAGGGCAGCAGCAGCGGCTGCCACAGGCGAGTGGCGGAAGTAAAAGTCCCTCATGGCAGGGCGCTGCAGGTGGTGCAGCAGCGGGATGGAGGGCAGCCAGGGGAAGTCGTCCAGGCACAGCACCTCCCACGCCATGCGCCCTCGCGCGGGCGGGTTGGCGCTGAACCATGCTGTGAACGCCGGGTGGTTGCTGCGGTCCGTTACCACGTGGAAGACGTGTCGCCATGGCTGGTGGGGGGAGGACACGGGAGGGATGGGGAGCTGAAACGAGAGCCCCTCACCCTGGCTGTCGCGGTTTCTGCGGTCCGTTACCACATGGATCACGCGGCTCCATAGCTGGTGGTGGGGGATGGGAGGGGATGGGAGGGGAGAGGAGGGAGACGGCTGGTTGACGACCACCATAGCTGCCAGCACAGCATATTGAGTCTCTTGAGACAGCGCAAACAAAACTCTCAAGGGTGTGTGCAGTGCAGTGCAGGCACGCCTGCTGGGCCGGCGGGCGTGTGTTTTGCCATGTGATTGAAGAAGTGTTTTGAGACGTCTCAAAACACTTCTTCAATCAATCACGTGGCTCTTCTGCAGGCACGCCTGCTGGGCGGGCGGGCGTGTGTTTTCAGACAGTCTCCAGTCACAAGGAGCGCACCTGGCGGGCGTGCGAGGCGGTGGAGTTAACAACGACCATGGCTGCCAGCACGTTGTCTGTGATCACCACGTAGTGGTACAACGACGGATCCTCCACCCGCCGCCTCCACTCCCTCTCCCTCTCCCTCTCCCAGTCCTTCTCGCTCTCTCCGTCTTTCTGTTCCTTCTCTCCTCTGTCTCCTACGTCTAATCCTCCTTCCCCTGCTCCTCCGTTCACCGCACCTGCCTTCCTCCTCCCCACGCGCTCGTCCTTGCCCCCGTCCACCCCCTTTCCTTCCTCCCCATCTCCCTCCTCCTTCGCCCCCACCTGCAGTACTGCAGCAGGCGCAGCAGCAGGAGCGAGCCACGAGCGGCGCAGGGACGCGTTCTGGGCGGCGAGGGTGAGGCGGAGGGAGAGGCAGTGCAGCGGAGCAGGGACGGCGGTGGAGGCCACGTGGCTGAACAGCATGCTCTGCCGCACCACTGCATCCGCCTGCCTTCCAGCCTCGCCCAGCCGCTCCTCCAGCCGCACTAGCGCACTGCTTCTCTCCGCAGATGCTGCTGCTGCGCTGCTCTCCTTGCCATGGCTGCCGCCCGCATGACTGCCCTGTCCGCCGCTGCTGCTCCTCGTGCCCCCGCTCCTGCTGCCGCTGCCACCACTATCACGGCTGGGGCTGCTGCTGCTGCTGCTGCCGCCATCAAGCGCCAATAGAGCGTCATCATGCACCGCAGCTGCATGCGCAGAGGCGGAGGCGTTGAGGACGGGAAGGGAAAGGGGCAGGGGAAGCGGCAGGGGAAGCGGGGAGGAGGAGGAGGAGGAGGAGGAGGAGGAGGAGGAGGAGGAGGAGGAGGAGGAGGAGGAGGAGGAGGAGGAGGAGGAGGAGAGCAGAAGCAGGCAGCGGTTCATCTCCCGCCTGCTCTGCTCCGCCATCGCGTTGTCCCTGAACTCCACAGCCGCCCCCAAATACGCCTGCACCGCCAGCAGACACTGCCTCAACCGCCGCACCTTTTCCCTCCTCGCCCCTTTGCCTGCTCCGCGCACCGCACCTCCCACACCTACCGCACCTCTCGCACCTCCCGCACCCGCAGCACCTGCAGCACCTGCTTTTGCTGATGCTCCTGAATCTCCTGACGTGCTTCTCGCAGCCGATACTCTCAACTGGTGTGAATCCAGCGATAATCTCTCGGCCGCTGCAGGTGCAGACCCCTCTGCGCCTTCCACACCACCTCCTCTCCCTCCATCTCCATCTCCATCTCCATCTCCATCTCCTTCTCCTTCTCCTTCTCCTCCTTCTTCCTCTCCTGGCCCCGCTCGCGTATCATCCCCTCTCGTGTTATCCCTTCCCTGTTCTCTCGCGCCCCTCTTTTGACCTCCGTTCGCACCTTCACTGCCGCTCTCTTTCCCGGCGTCCCACCCGCGTCTATCCGGAAAGAGGACTCGGTCGTTCGTTTCTCCGTTGGCTTCTCTCCCGTCGCCGTGCAGCAGTGATCGTCCAACGGCGGATCGCGCCAGCGCAATCGCGGCGGGCAAGGTGTCTAGATCGGACGGTTGCGAACCTACGAGGGTGGAGTGGGTGGGTGGGGCCGATGGAACAGAGGAGTTAATACGAAGAGGACGGAAGAGAAGAGAGGGAAGGCAAGGAGGAGAAGCTAGGGATTGGGGGTGCACGGGAAAGACAAGGAACCTTCGTTAGAAATGCCGACTCGTGTGAGAGAACTAGTCTCTGTCAGACTCGTTACTATTTTTGGGGGACTTTCTAGTAGTAATGCTTGTGGAGGTGTTTTGATAGGGGATCAAAGAACACGGAATAGTTCTCATCGCCGCGACCATCGGCACCGTGAGCAACAAAGCCTCTGTGAGTCGGCGCAAAAGAGCACCGTGAACAGCGATCCCCTTCATGATGCCTGTTTATGGAATCAGAGTGCTTTCTCGCAGAATAACGCGCGGGAGCAGCCGCTACCCACCCACCTCGCGAAAGCAGCATCATGTGCGCCCGTCGCTCGGACACGCTGCCGCCGCCGCCGTCGCGTAACCCGGCCGGCGTCGCAACCGTCGCAGGGACGTCGAGCGAAGCGTCCTGCGTTCGCATGAACATGAGCTGCTGCGTCGCCATCAGCAGCAGCACGACCATCAGCGTCGCACGCGCTACTGCGACGACGCCGTGCCGCCTCGCTGCTCGTAGCAGTATCCAGTGTTTCCAACGCGACAGCCACATCGACCCGCTTCCGCTCCCGCTCCCGCTCCCGCTGCCGCTTCCGCTGCCGCTGCCACTCCCTCTGGCACTGAAACTACTACGAGAAATGGACCAATGAGAGGGTACCGACAGCAACAGCTTCGACTGTTTCCCGCCATTTGCCACAGTCCCTGCCGCCATCAGAATTTGCGCGAGCCACGCGCGCGAGCGTCGCCGCTGATCGAGCGTTTCACGCGTGAATCCCGCTAAGCAGCACTAGTCCTGGCGCTAGTATAGTAGTACTAGCTACGACCGCACGAAGGTGAATTTTGGGGAATGAATGTGTCAGCAACGCGCCGACTCTAGGAGGTCACTTAAGTATCGACGACGAAATTCACTCGGCGGAGAGAAGGCGGAGAGAAGGAGCTCTCCATCATGGATGGCGTGTCTATCGACGAATGGCGGTAACCGCGGCCGCGGCTGGACTGGCACACTGGCAGCGCCAGGCCACAGAGTGATAGGTGCTGGCTTCGCACGACCTCTTAACTGTGTCGCGGCTTCTCACGGCTTCTCACAGCTTCTCACGGCTTCTCACAACTCACGCTCGACTATTGGCCTATTACTAAGTGTTTGCGTGGCCCCTGTTGGCAATGACTAACTCCCGTGGCGGGAGCTGCCTTATCACCTCGACGTCGCTAATTCCCAGATTGCCGCCCGTTACGGGAGCTCACATGGAAAGATGTCTAATTTGCTTCGTTCGAGTTTCGACTGATCTCTAATGGCACCGCTAGAAACTCGCGAGCTCTCCGAGCTGCTCATTCTGACTCGAGTTGTCACGGTGGAGCTTGCAAGAGGAGAGGGAGGGGAGAACGAGAGAGACGAGTTGGTTTGATTCGGTTGGGTGATTCGAGGAGAGAGCTGTGCGGCAGGTGTGAAGTTGGATCAGCAGGAGGTCTGGCTCTAGAAGCGGCGCTAAGGAGCGCGCATGCGGTATGCTGACGGGAGGACAGGCGGACAGGCGGACGGAGAAACGGAGGCAGGTTGCCTCAGAAAGAGGCCGTACGGACAGACGGGATTGGCGGGACCGCCTGGCCGGGCCCATCGACGGCCTGTCAATGAGACTTGCTACCGCGAGGCGCGATATGAGAACTCGGGTCGGGTCGGGACGGGACTCAGACTTGGGAGCCGGGACTTGGGACTTGGGAGGGACGGCATGTACCGAGGGAGGAAAATACGACTCCGTCAGCAAAGTACGCACAGGTCAACTCATAGCACGAAGCGCTGCGCGGCTTGCGGAGACTCGCTAGAATTGATTGATGGTGGTGATGGACGGCCGGACGGCATGCTGGAAGACATAAGTTATCATCTATGAAGCGAAGAGACGCTTGCATTGCATACTCTTAGGAAACGTGGAATTTATTGGGTGCCGGATGTGCGAATGGACCTCGACGTTTTGAATTGAAGGTGGATAGACGTCGAGGCGGGGGTGGATGGATGTGCTGTATCATGTTGTCAGCCAAGTCGTACTGGTGATGATGATGAGAAAGCCAGGGTAACGGGAGTAGGGTCAGAACCAAGGGGAGAGTTGACACCACACAGCAGAGCAGACCATTGGCTCAGAGAGCAGACGAGGAGGCAGAGGTCACAGAAACGAACACAGCGAATCCAGTCTGGTTGTGGACATCGCCTGGTCTCGCCTCGCCTCTGCCAGAAATTGGTGGGGTGGTGGTCAGCGGACCCGCGCCGCGGATGCGGGGTGTGTGTGATGTGAAGTGAATGTCCGCCTGGTTGGATGGAATCACTTCGCGAGATTTTTCGAGCTGTGCGAGCAAGCGAGCGACTAAATGGTTGTGTGCTGATTGGTTGCTTCGGGGGTTTGGACTTGTGGTGGTGTGGTGACACCACGGTGCGCCGGCGGTTTTGTTCAAGTGGGACGAGGCGCGACGAAGGGGCTAAGCGCGGCTTCTTCGTGGTATGCGGTAACAGGGATGTCCACCTGAGCGAAAGGCTGACGACGCCAGCGAAACGGAGTTGACGTTCGAGAATCGAACACTGACGATGAATGTATGTAGACGGACCTGAGCGACTAAGCAATCAGAGACTTTCCGATAAATGTGGCTCCCCCAAGACAAGGGACAGGATCGCGGTCTGTGCTGTCTAAGTGGGCCGCTGCGCGTGCTGCGCAAAGGCCGAGTCGCAGCATCGAAACAAGAACCAAGCTCCTTACAGGAACATCGCTTTGCTGTCACCATGAGGTCGAAACGAGATAACCCTCGAATACGTGCTCCTTACATATTCATCGCTTTGCTTTATGAATATGAGCTTTGCCCAGCCGCGAACCCTAGAAAATGACTCCAAGTCTTCCATGGATCAGTCGAAGTACCCCGAATTAGCAGCAATTGCTGAAGAGAAATGCAAGAAGCTAAAAAATACAATGTCAATGGACGTCATAGCAACCTTACTCTAAGGACGCGGTGCAAGTGCAAATATCGCAGGATCGTCTGCAAATATCGAGCCCCACAATCGAGTGGGCAGATCGATTGGCAGAACGTGGCGACCGCGACATTGTAACAATTGCCCCTTTAGAATTGGCAGATCTCCAAAAATCAGTGATCAATCGCATTCGCACACTGTACAAAAATTTTGGCAAAAAGGAGTATTGTAATATGGTTACATCGTAGTAAATAGGGTAACCGATCCCCACATCGATCGCCAATGACGATCAATCGTCTACTTTTACCGCGTCCTAAGGGCGTGTTCCTACGGCCCCTTATCAGCCGACCTCTTGTCATACTTGTGCGCTTCCATGCATTTCAGTGTGATCGAATGTTATTACATGTGTTCCAGTACGTTGCGACGCGAATCTGTCAATAGGTTCGCCTGATAAGGGGCCGTAGGAACACGCCTTAAACACAAGTCGATCACCCAATTCCTACACAAGTAGCCCGAAGAACCTAGTAGCACTGAAATCTCAAACAGAATATTTCTGGCATTCTTGTTTTTTCAAAGTTGGCTGCCTTTCAAAAATGAGTGCTTCAGACTTATGTTTTTTTTTGTTTATACTGGAGAAATCGGAGCACCTGCTTACCGGGTAATACGCTTTCATAGTATGAGATTCTTGACCTTCTACAAAGTTTTCTGCACTTCACATGACTACCGCACTCTCCCCTGCTGCCAAATCTGGAGTTGGCAGCTGGGCCACCCATTTTCACTGCTTTGTCAGCAGCAATCTGTGGGAATCTAGTAATAGGAATGAATGCACTATGGAAGAGTTGGGTACAAGTATGAAACCCTAAACGGGGCTGTACCCCATATTGGCTACCCCACTACAGCCTACACACATATAACATATATATTCTTTGACACACCCCCATAGGCAAAGTGGGGGAGAACAAGGGGTCACAAGACCAGCCAAGAGAAGCAAAGCAAGCTCAGGGTGGATCACAACGTCACCACACACATTGAGCACAAACAAAGGGCCACAAGGCCAGTTCACATGCAGAGATATATATGCAACAACGGCAGCACAGTAATCTCTACCTAGCAGAGCAAGCATGCAGATAGATATATAGATCACAGTACAGGCAAAGACTACAGCAAGTGAGAAAACGTGGGCACAAGGCCTAACAAAGTACAAGAACGCTGATGATCACCAGACGGAAGTGCCTTGGTGAATATATCAGCAGTGTTAGCCTGAGTGGCTACGTGAGCAAGACGAAGCTGACCACGGTGCTGCAACTCTCGAGCAAGGAAGTAATGCAGAGCGATGTACTTCGTTCTGTGCTCCAGTCCGTGCTCCTGACACAAGGCAATGGCGGCCTTGTTGTCGACGTACAGCACTGGAGGAGAACGAGGCCGCTCTCCCAAGTCGGTCAGCAGGTAGGTGAGCCAGCGTAGCTCCTATGCAGCCATGGGTGTGGCGTAGATCTCAGCCTCACAACTGGAGCCGAGAACTGAAAACGAGTGTGTAGACCGCCAGGAAACTGAACCAGAGCCAAGGCTGAAGGTGTAACCCTGTGACGACCGCTGTGTAGCTAGGTCGTCAACCCAGAAAGCGTCCGAGTGCCCAGTGAGGACAACTAGGCTCCGCCCTCCAAGCACGAGCCCCATGCCCGATGTACTGCACAAGTAGCGCAGTACCCTCTTAGCAGCATCCATGTGCACCTTTCGGTGCCTACCAGGAGCCACGTAGCGAGCCAGAAGGACGAGAGGGTACGCAAAGTCAGGTTGAGTGCAGGTCATCAGATACATAAGGCAGCCCACTAGCTCTGGGTACGGCCCACTCGGCTCTACGGACTCGTCCGAAGGTGGAGCTGAGAGCAAGTGGCCTGTAGCCAGAGGTGTGTGCTGTGGCAAGAACCAGGTGAAGCCAAAGCGTTGAAGGACCTGCTGCACCATATGTGAGTGAGTCAGTGTGATGGTGCGGCGTGCTCTGTCGCGGGTGATCTGCAAGCCAAGGTAGCTGCGCAGCTCACCCAGGTCTGTGCACGTGTGTCTCTTCTGCAGCTTCGACTTCACGAGGGCGAGAGCCTCAGTGTCAGCAGTGGCAAAGACCAAGTCGTCGACGTACACGAGGATGTAGAATGGCGGCAGCGAAGTGTCGGTGCGCAGAAACAGCGACGGGTCAGCAGTAGAAGGCGCGAACCCAAGAGCCGCAAGTGTAGTCCTCAGTGTGTCGTGCCACTCACGTGGCGCCTGGCAGAGACCGTAGACCGGCCGCCGCAGGCTCCACTAGGTACCAAGAGGGAACGAACCAGTGAAGCCAGGAGGGCGGCGCAGCCAGATCTCCTCGTGCAGGCTGCCCTGTAAGA